TGATGGATGATTGCTAACCGATTGGCAACGAATGTACTAAAACGTGTTGAAGTATTTTCTCTATAATATTTGACAATCACTGAATCCGTCTGATACCACTGTAGAAACCCCAGAATGAAGGAAATCCCTCTTCTCGGTCCGAGACGTGACCACTGTTGTTCCCCCTCCCAACCTCCTCCTCCTACCTCCTACCTTTTCGATCCTGTGTAAACACGTTCTCCTTAGTCACTCCTGATTTGACCTTGATCACCACATGATCCCTCGTGTTAGTCATTGTCGATGGTTGTTTGATGTCGGATTCTTGTGTCCAATGACTTTGTGTGTCTACCTATCGACCCCACCCGTGTCATTGTCTTGTGCACTAATGTGGCTTTGGTGTGTCATTGCCCCGGTCCATAACCACTCCAATCCCTCGCTATATGCCCCGTCACTGGCCCTATGGTCTCATTCTTGCTTGTCTTGCTCTTTGCGAGTGCATACCTGACTTCGATCACTGGCTTTTCACATTTGGTAAACAGAATTTCTCTCCGTGACAAACAGATTATTGTCGATTTGTTTTAACTTATCTTGGCTGTTCACATTAAGTGAACATGCTTGATCTAACAGGTATTTATGTTCCCTCTTGTATATTTATTTCCTTGTCTTTATATCAGGTCTCTACCCATTTGTTTGGACTCACCTTTTTGGCTGTATAGCGACTGAGTCGCATTGTTGAAGTACATTGTTCTTTGACTCGCCTAATGAAATAACAGTACCGTACGCATTGTGGATCAATATCGTTCTGACTTCGGGATTCGCATTTTGCTACGCGTTGCTCAACGGTCTCATTGACGTTATACAGAACGATCGTAAAATAGTCGATTACACTCGGATTACGGACGAGCCAGAACAAGTCGTTTTGGAAATTTACAACCACACCTCGCTGAACATTTCCGATAGAGCCCAACTCTCCTATCTTGATTCTGAGGTATGCCACAAACAGTTCCAGTCGCGGTATGGTTACGGGTTTGATAGATGCCACTCGAGAATTACTTAACAGCAAAACTCTGAAAGCCGGCTTTCTTGCTGGAACGCACCAAGCATAGGCGACGGCCCCATAACCTGTCTCGGATGCATCACAGAAAACATGAAACTCCGTTCTCCCTGTTACTTCCAAATAGATCAACGAGCGACGCGTAGCCGAAATTGGATCCCAAAGCGTCAACAAAACGAACGATCCGGCAAATTTCTACGGTACTGCATTATTAAACGATCGAATAANTGAGCGCTCAAGTCGCGATTAAAACAAGTAGGAAAAGAATTGAAGCAGATAAACAAACAAAGTCAAATGGTTGGACTGATGTGTAAATATACAAGGGGAGTGGAACGTCAAATGTCTATATGTATATGAGGCTGAT